TGCTGAAGAAAGTATAACAGAATGCAAGTGAGCTAACCTTGATTTTCTGTATTTTTAAGAGTAAATCATTTACAAACTCAACCCTTTAATTATGAGTAGTAAAAAACAATTTCCTTGCAACACACCCATCTACTGATTGCAACATCATGCTTAAGAGCCTCTGTTCTTACAGATTAAAAGGTGCTGCCAGAATTTTTGTTTCTGTTTTAAATTTGCATTCAAGCAACAGTGTGCTTGAGATTATTTTTTTTCAACTACAAACAATTGTTTTAATTCCATTTTAATTCTTTAATACCCTTTTTTTCTCTTTCAGAAAGATTCTTTTAATCTCAGAATTTTAAAAAGGAGAGTACTGTATTGAGAACTCTCAGTGATCTGATGGATTATTATGGGGATTATTCTTTGTCATTATAGGGTGACCAGTTTGTCCCAATTTGCCTTGGACTTTTCTGTTTTTATCACTGGAGTCCCACATCCTGGGAAATCCCTCAGTTCTGAGCAAATGGGACAGTTGACCACCCTAAAGCAGGCTGAAAGAAATGGAGAATGTGACTGGGTAGGATTTTAGTTGGGTGTATAATTGGTAATCCATATATTTAAATATGCTGAGATCTTGAACTTCAACATAATGATCGCAGCTAAAAATGGGCAGAGAGATCTCTCTATTGCTTAACTTGTCCATTCTCTAAATTGCTTCTATAGTGAGCTATAAAAAACACACATCTTAATTATGTCACTGCATTGAGTAACAAGGCTTCACATTTATTTCAGGAAGAATCCAAACTCTAGAAATTGCCTCACCCGGCCTCGCTTGATTTGGTCCATTGGTTCTCAAACTTTACTCTGGGAAGGACCACCTAGAAAATGTGTTTAAAATGCACATTCTTGTGCCCCTGATTCAAAGAGAATAAATCTGGAGAGCAACTAAAAGCATTTTTTCAAAAACAAGCACAGTGGGGGACTCTTTTTCAGGTAGTCCTTGGACCATGTTTTGAGGAAAATTGACCTAGTTTGGTTTTTTCCCCCATTTTTTAAATGCCCAGTTGTTGGTTTATTCTCTGGGCTTATTAAAATTCACTTAACTTCTCAGTGTTCCAGGCCTTCTACCTGAAGCCCTCTCCTACATCTCTGTTGGTCAGTCAGATTTCTACTACCTGGACGTCCCCTTTCCCAGTAAGCCTCCGCAAGGCCCCGTTAGGGTTAATGTCTCTCTCTTTGTCCTCTATTAGGACCCTGCCCCCTCCTGCCAAGTGTCTAGAGCCCAGGATTGTAAATGCCTCTTCCTTGTGTGTATCTCCCTTTAAGCCAAGTTCAGTGCCCATAGACGCCTCTCATCTTATTTATGATTATGTCCTCAGGTTATTGCTCATTGTTGAGCACGTGGTAAGAGCACAAGATTGTTTACTGAAGAATTAAATTGCTTTAGTAATGGGTAGATTGATGTAACATAGTCCTAGGAACTGAGACTCAGGTGCCTCTATCTGGTATTGGGTTATCCCCTTCCCCAGCCCTCCTTGTATCCGTGGGTATGTTTGGGGCCTTAGGAATACTGAGATTTGGTTGTGGGGAGAAGTGCAGGGCCCCTGGAGAGAGAGACAATGGAATGAGAAGTTACAGGTTTAGGGGAATTTCATTGCATTCCTCCCCAGCTGGACCTGAGGGACTGGTCTGGAGCCTGAGTAGAGAAAGCGGTGGTGGCAATTTCATCCATTTCACAGAGGTTCAAGGGGCAGACGTGATGCAACCAGGGGGCTTGAGAACAGGGAGCCACACGCATTCCCTGACACCAGACATATGTACACGCACTGCACATCACACACACACACACACACACCACACACCACGTGCATCACACTTACATACCACACATATATACCATCTACTTCACACACACCACTCATACCATACCACACACACACATGCATACACACATTCAAAGCTTCTCCCTCCAACACCACCTAGGACCCAGCTTTGCCTCCTGAGGGCTCTGGGCCGCCGTCAGCAGGGCTAGCAGTGTTGTCTCTCAGGGAAATGGCAGTATAATTGTCCTGAATGCTCAAGAGCTCCTGATCTCCCTGGAAATTCCATAAAAAAATCCCAAAGAGATTTAGTGGAGCTGTTGAAGGGAAGGTCATGAGCGGAGATCTTGCATTAACAAAAAGGGGCTGAGTGCTAGCATCATTGGACTTCATTTGTGAAAGGTGGACTTTTGAATGAGACCGAGAATAAGTAAAATCCAGTTTCTAGACAAGGCCTGTCATGAAAGTTCAGCCTCAGACTGCCAAAAACAAGACTTTCTCATAAGACTGGGCCGACAGATCTATGAAATGGGCTGGCTGAATGCTAACATTTTATTGCTTTCTGGACTTTTTGTACGAGTCATTCGAACTAAAAGGTGCTACCATTCTTGACAACTGGTGGCGCTGTGGAGTTCTTTTTCCGGCCTTGAGAAATTGCCACTGAGCCAGTGTACAGCAGGCACTGTATCAAATCTGGTTTTGAACAACTAGAATTGACCTTGCTGGTCGTGATACCGGTGAGGTGCTTCTGAATTAGATTGTGCTGAGCCCATCTCAGCAGCTTGGGAAATGGTGAGGCGTGAACACACAGCTGATGTGTGCCTGGGAGAGTTTCACAATTGTGTGAATGATGGCTAGACAGATACTCAGTGTGAACACTACACATTGACTTAAAATGGTATTGACATCCTCTGGTGAATGATCTTGTCATGCTACGTGACAATATGTAGATGTACTCTCTGAGCAATTCCCTGCGTTAAACACCTTACCGTGTACTGGTAACAAGGAAGAGAATTTAGTATTTCTGTAGCTGTATCTTGAAATACGCCTAACTCTAGGAAGAACGAAAATAAACATATAAATAAGTAACCACGATGGGAATTTTCTAATGAAATAACACCTAGTTGTCTGAAACTTTGTTTCCAGTTAATGGACATTGAGTCAACTTATATAACTGTCATAGCAAAGTTAGATGATTGTAAATTGTTATTTTTATTGTTATTCAAAATAAGAGAGTATTATTCTTGAGGGGGGAATAATCAATGTATTTAGAAAGGTGGAGAGACCAACTGGTGAGAGTAATATGCACATTTATTTTAAAGATCACACATTAAAATTTTTTTAAAAAAAGAGAGAGGGAGAGAAGAAAGTGTTAATGTAAATTTACTGCAATTTCACAATTTTAACACCAATTAAATCGAATGTTTGAAAGATACCAGAACTCTTATAAATGTATAAGGTCAGGGAAAGCTTATGCTTGACTTTCAGTTGAGAAGTAAAAAAGAAATGCCAAGTGTGATAAATGGAAATTCCAGAAAACACAGAGAATTAGATGGCTCTACACTCTGGTTAGAAACTGGAAGAAGGATGGTGGCTGGTCTATCCGTCCTCTAGAAGGAAGGGCAGCAGAAAATGAAGTCGTCCCCAAGACCACAAAATAGGTGAGTTATGGGAGCAAATTCCCAAAGACCCCTGAGTGGTTGTGTGTAAGTCAGTCAGTGAAAAGCATAATCAGAAGCTCCTGAGATGGAGTCAACTGGCTGATTTCTGCCTCTAAAGCTAGCATACCCAACCGTTATGTTACCCAGTTCGATGGAAGAAAATAAATTTCCAAATTCAAGCCCCAAATTCCCATGTTCTTGCAGGTAGGCAAGATTTGGAGGCAAAAATGAGGTACCCTGTTAAAATTTGAACATAGGGAAATAATTCTGACAGTTGAACTTCTGAACATTTCATAAATTACATTAGAAATATGTACATTTGCCTTAAATTTTAATTCTTAACATGGTGGCAGTAGTGGGCTTATCTCCCGACCACAACCATAATATAATCATCTTGTCTTTTAAATCACCCCCTCCTAGATTCACCACTATCCTTTAGCCACAGTTATTGGTGATAATGTGTCGTTCCTCTCAGGTAGGCTGGGGTGGAAAAAATGTGAATCCCTCCATCTTCTAGTGCCTGAATGGCTGCAAAATTGTCTGTTATATGATGAAAGGTTATCGATGTAAAGAAGGAAAGCAATGGCAGTTGGTCAGCCATAGAAATGTGAAAAGGTTGAGGGACAGAGGCCAGCACCAGTGGTCTTCATCCACGCACAGGACAACCTGACCTAGGATTGAGCTGCTTGCCAGCGTGGTGGGTCTGTCCCTGGAAGTGGAGATAAAAGCATATTCTTCTGAGGGCTCGATGACGGACAGTCCAACTAAATCCCCTTGCTGTATGTGATTCCACGCTCAATCAATAATAACATTTCTTCTAGTAATATTTTTATGTCTCATGTAAATATGTGTATGGGTGGACCATAGTCAGCATACACATTCTGTTATGGTTTGGGGTGTCATTTGAAATAAACAAACTGGCATTGTGGTTTTCTGCATCTTAGCCTTCGGGAGCTTGATTAATGTAAATCCACTCTTGTCTTAGTCTGTTTGGGCTGATATAACAAAATACCATGGACTGGGTAGCTTATAACAACAGAAATTTATTTCTCATGGTTCTAGAGGCTGGGAAGTCCATGATCAAGGTGCTGACGGATTTGGTGTCTGTGAGGGCCTGCTTTCTACTTCGTGGACAGATGTCTATGTCTTCACGTGGTGGAAGGGGCAAGTGAGCTTTCTGGGGTCTCTTTTACAAGGCAGTAATCCCACTTATAAGGGCTTTACCCTCATGAACCAATCATCTCCCAAGGGCCCCACTTCCAAACACCAGCATACTGGGAATTAGGTTTCAACATGCGAATTTGGGGGAACACAAACAATCTATAGCAGGGGTCCCCAACCCCCGGGCCTCGGACCGCTACCAGTCTGAGGCCTGTTAGGAACTGGGCGGCACAGCAGGAGGTGAGTGGCGGACGAGCGAGTGAAGCTTTGTCTGCCGCTCCCCATGGCTCCCCGCCGCTCGCATTACCGAGTGAGCCATCCCACCATCCCCCGCCCCCCCAGTCAGTGGAAAAATTGTCTTCCACAGAACTGGTCCCTGGTGCCAAAAATGTTGGGGACTGCTGATCTATAGCAACCCCTTAAATTATTACTAATTATTTCTTAACGGGATGGCAAATTTAATTTCTGTGCCTTAAGGACTAATGGTCAGATCCCAGACTCTGATGAATTCCTGAGTTGATGGAGTTGATGCCAGCCTTGTGACTCCTGGCTGAGTGGCTAAGCCTAAGCTGTGACATAGGACCTTGCAGCCTGTCTTTCTTCAAATTGCTTCAATATGGTTATGGGCAAAAAGTTCCTTTCCAGATATGATATTCCTAGGGGTTGTATATAGAAACTTTATTTGTTAATAGGCCTGTTTATTTTGAATAAAATATAATGTATCATTATAACTCAGGTTAGGGAAAAGACTAAATTTTCTTTTTTGGGGAAGGATGTGTGGTAGCCAGCTTCCCGTGGTCATCAGTATTCATACCTTTCTATAATCCTTTTCATGTGGATGAGGGCTGGCCTGTGTGACAAATTAACGTATGGTGGAAATGATATCTGTAATATCAAGACAGACTTATATAATACACTGCAGCTTCCACCGTGCTTTCTCTCAGAACACTCAGGCTGGAGAAAGCCAGCCACCGTATTGCAAGGACACCCAAGCAGTCCTGTGGAGAGGTCCACATGGAGAAGAATTAACGTGACAGCCATGTGATTGAGCCACCTTAGAAATAGATCTTCTAGTCCTGGTCAGACTTTCAGGTGCCTGTAACCCCAGGCAGCTTCAGACCACAACATTATGAGTACCTCTGAGTTAGAAATGCCCAATCAAGCTGCTCTGGAATTCATGATCTAAGGAAACCGTGAGAGATAATAAATGCTTATTGTTGTTTTAAGCCACTAAGTTTTGCAGTGATTTATTATGCAGCAACAAATAACTAATACAGAATTTGGTATCTTAAAGTATGGTGATGCTATTAAAAAAATGAAAAACAAAAACTGAGAGCCCAGAGAGAGGGAACAACCAAGGAAAAACCTTCTTAGGCAGAAGTAGGATTGATGCTTAATCAAGGAGTTGGCGCATGGGCCCAGCTGTATATCAGAGCTGCTGTGGATCACTGACTCCCATGTGCCCCCTGTTCTAACACTTTTATAATAAGTGAGTGTCTAGAGTGGCTATCCTATACTTGTCCCACCATTTTATGTTTGATGTGTGTGGGGCAGGTGGTGCATCTCTTTAGTTCATATGTCTTGAGATCAAGAGGAATCCCACTCGAGGAGCTTTATTTGAAGAACTCTGCCTAAGGATCCTCATCTATACCTGATTCCATCTGCATAAGGAGATCCTGGGCCACGAGCCTGAGATGATGC